GATTTATAGACTGATATAGCTGAGTACCATCACTGATCAGCATAACAGTGGAACTGAATCCCATGCTGTCTAATAACTCTACCGATTGGAGCATATACATAGTAAACAGAATTGGTCCTATATCAACATTTTAGTGCTGGACTGGGGCCCCGCTCAATACTGGTATCGGTATCAGCGCAACACTAGTAATTTGCCTGGTGTGCTCAATTCAGTTCAGTTTATTTATACAGCGCCAATTCACAACACGTCATCTCAAGGCACTTTACAATTAGCCAGATGATAAAGTCAAAACTTTTTATGATCTGAACAACTCACTCTACTTTGCCACCTGTGCTCCTGATTTACTCCTTTTCTTGGGTGCCCAACCACATCTCTGGTTCACGCAATGATGTCTCTGTGCATGCTTGGCCTTATTCCTGCTTGCTCAACTATCATTGTTTTTTTTTCCGGGTGGATCATCAAAATAAGTGGTCCTCCTAATTGTCAATCATTCTGGTGATATGTTTACATAAGGCCGTCCTACGTGCTCGTCCCCATTTTCACTTATCGGTGGTGAGTCTGACAGTGGAAAATTAGCAAATCTTCTTTTGGATCATTTCAAAAATTCACAAAAATCCTCCACAATACCTTTAAGACAAATTACGTCTGTTCTCATGTGGATCCATACCGAAACATCTGCTTTGGTAGACCAAGGAAAGTGTTGCATTACTTCATTGTAGCTGGAAGAAAATATCCTGCAATTAAAAAAAATTGACAGGTAATTAAGCAGCTTAGGAATATAAAAATGTTTTAAAATGATTCAGTTAATGTATAAATTAATAAAGAACAGCTAATTGTTAATCGTATTACAGTCTGATGTTTTTTTCTTAAATCCTGCCATTTGGTTTTGTAATCTCTGCAACTGTAGGTGCAGTTTTTGTGATTTACAGGCAGTATTTCCAAGAATTCCTTTGATTAGACTAAAAAGACCTGCCTTTGAGTTTACACCAGACAGGTTTTGAGCGAAGGGGTGTGAGCGCACAGCGTGCGCTCAGAATGCTTACTGCTTGCTTTGCTCAGCAGCAGAGCTAATGAGCATTATTCAGAGAGACATGAATCAAGCAAAATACCACTTTGTGTCTGAATTTGATGAGGGAATAGCATTATGTAAGTTAAAAGTAAAAAAATGTATCTGGGCCCCTTTTCGACAGAGCAGACACTTCTCCCAAAACCCTGTCGACTCCCTCAACACAGACTTAAAAAAAAGGGCGAAACATCTGCAGCCTTAACTACTCGCCTGCAGGTGATCCACACATCCATTTAAAACAGATTCTGTGAGGTTGAGACACCATGAAGTTCAGGGTAAGACATGTTTGTTCACCATTCAACAAAGTAACTAGATGTGATCAGCCAGAACTTGTACTATAAAAAATATTACTCTTAAAAAAAGTGTAAAAAGTGTAGTGTGTTGAGTCAGTAACTCGTGTTCAGAGCTAATTGGACTGCACCAACAGTTGCTCCTAGAAATTGAGAATTTTCACATTCCTTACATTAAGGTTGTTGTCCGTTTCCAGCTTTTGATTTGTATGTAGGATTTAATGTGTTTTTATTTCTTTATTTGCTGTAGTTTAGCTTAACAAACGTAACTGTAGTGGATCATTTTATTGTTCAGTTACCCCTATTGTGTTGTGATGGTCTTATCAGCTATTATATATAGACTTTATTAACAAATGTATTTTCTCACCCATAAAAAATATTGGAATCAGGTGTTCCAATCACTTCCATGGTGACAAGTATATAAAATCAGTCACCTAACTATGCAGACTGTTCCACCATGGAACAGTGATAGGATGCCACATGTGCTACAAACCTGGTCATTACATTTAAACCTGGAGAGACTCACAGAGTGAAGTTGTAATTAGAAGAGTTTATTGACATGAATAATATATATATCTTCTTTTGCACGACCAGTTCTGTCAGTTCAGACAGAACTGACTGAAAACTTTGTGTTCAGAGCTGATGGGTGATCAGTTCGATGGATTTAGAGGAGAGAGGATAAGTCTTCCACCCGGTGTCCTGATGCTGATGGTGGAATAAGCCCAGGATGAATGGGACGGAGCCTGTCCCAAGATTCACTTCTTGGGGATGAGAAGGGATGGAGGTGGGCAGAGAAACTGCTGATGAGCAAGAGGAATGTCAGGAATGACGCTTGAAGGAGAACTTGCAATTTCATTTGCTCGGTTTGGATGTAGGACTCCAGCAGGGGATCCAGGTGAGGTTAATCAGAGTCTTCCAGATTAAGTTTACGCTTAAGCTTAATTTCTATGCTCCTAAATATTTCACCGTCAACCGTCAGCAAAACAATAAAAAAATAGACGTTATTTTTTTTATTATGTGGCTGAGAACAGCAGCAATTCAGCCACCAAGTGGTAGGGCACATAAACTGATGAGGCGTGGTCAGCAGATACTGAAGCACATAGTGTGAAGAGGTCTCCCTCTTTCTACAGAGTCAATCACTACACACCTCCAAACTACATGAGGCCTTCAGATTAGCTCAAGTACAGTACGTAGAGAGCTTCATGTAAAGAGTATCCATGGTTGAGCAACTGCAGTTGTTTAAAGCCACCCACCACTGGACTCCATAACAATGGAGACAAGACATGTTCTCAGGAATAATGAATCCTGCTTTTGCATCTGAACAACTTGATGGACGTGTCTGGGTTTGGCAGTTGCCAGGAGAGAGGTTCTTTTCTGACTGCATTGTGCCAAATATAAAGTTTGGTGGGGGTTATGCGGTGGGATTGCTTTTTAGATGCTGGGCTGATGCTAATTATCCCTGCATCCGGTTTGTCTTTTCCAACAGAGGTTTGCTGCAAGGTATTTAGATTAACTTTTGTTCTCGATCATATAATTATTTTCCACATTATTTGCAAAGAATTGCTTAATATCTCTGTGATAAAAAAACATATATACCTCTCTAGTCTAAGTAATAAGAACTTTTTCACAATCAGAGGCTGACTAACATATTTTTTTCCCCCAACTGTATTAAGATCTTAAATTACTGACCATTTTAAATCCACTGGAGCTGAGGTATTCAACCTGTGGGTTGCTTTTTGTTTTAGAAAATATATTTACTCAGAACTATTTACATATTACCTTTGCATAGGCAACAAACATTTGTTTTAAGGCCTGACCGGAGTCAGTTGCCTAGAGATGGACATGTTCAGAAAGCAGAGTGTGGAAACTAGAAAGTTTAATAAGGAAATGAGGAAAACACACAAGTAGGACGGAGGAGAAATAGGTCTAGAAAAAAGGTAGGAACTAAGCAGTGAAATGAGGCAGCAGAGTACCCACAGAAACAGGTAATGGGGAATTAGGCCAGAGCATAAAAACTAGTAAAAAGATGCTGGGATCAGGTGGTCTGCTTGTTCCAGTAAGCTACAGTATGGGACATGTAGTAACCTACTAGGAAGACACTGGGAGCATTAATGTCTACTGGTGACAAAAAGTCTAAAGGATAGTTCTATTATATCTGTGATTATAGCTGTAGTGAATAATTAACATTGATGCTCTTTATTTTGTGTATTTCAGATGCCCTTTTTAATCACTGCTGGGAAATAATATGTTAATTAGTTATACATAATATTAGAATAATATAATATTCTAATATTATTAGAATAGAAAATTTCTTACAGTATTTTAGCAGTCATCAGTTATGAAGTTGATTCTTAAGAAAAACTAAATCAAAAGGAATAAATGAGGGTATATACTAATTTCTCAATGTTGTTAAAAATGACTTATAATTGTAATAGCTAGATTTGCACGGGTCTCTGAGGAAAGACCCTTAACTCCACACTGCTCCCTGGGCGCTGCACAATGGCAGCCCATTGCTTCCCAAGGGGATGGGTTAAATGCAGAGAATTATTTCTGTTGCTCTGTACTTGTGACATTGTGATGACAATAAAAAAGCTGAAAAAACAAAAAAAAAAACAAAAAAACTCATTAGCATCTTTGCTTTGGATGTATTAGACCAGGCACGCCTAAAGTGGGTTTTCAAGGGCCACTGTCCTGCAGGTTTTAGAGGTTTCCCTGTCCCACCACAGCTGATTTTTATCGAATGCTGAGTAACAGGCTTTGCTGAACTGCAATCATCAGAATCAGCTGTGCTAAAGCAGGGAAAGCTCTAAAACCTGTGGGACAGCGGCCCTCGAAGCCCCACTTTGGGCATGCCTGCATTAGACAGAACTTCAAGACTAAAAAAAGTTACTAGACTAGTAAGGGCAATGACTGGTTGACATAAGTTAGCTCATATAAAACACTTCTTTGCACTTTGAAGATCTGAAGCGCTGCTTCTTTTTCACCAAAAAACAGGGCTGCGCATTGTATCATTTGTTTTCAACTAGCAGTTTGTTAAAACACTTAAATCATCAGCTGTATCAGTGGCCTACTTGTTCTCTCTGTAGAATTAGCCAACTTTGCCCTGCAGGCTTCATCCCACATAGATGACCCTTATTTTTCCACTTTTCTAGGCTTGCAGCTTCTCCCTCCCACACAGCACAAAGCCCACGCAAAGTGTATTTTTTATTTCTTTTTTCTACTAGCATCTCAGCTAATGTGTGTGCAAGAGGGTCCACAGGGAGGAGTATATGCTGAACCATGCGAGGTGGACATGCCCACACAGGGATCCAATCCTGGACAGAATTCAGAGACAGAATGCTTTCACAAAAGAAGAGTTGAATAGTGAGGTTCAGCGATACAATAATATAATCCACATATCGTAACCATCACATTCTGGTCTGATTATTTAAAAAATATATAACACAACCTTTAATATATCATGTATTGTAGAATATAAAATTAGCCTAAATTCTAAATAAGGAATTAATGGTCTAACTTCAGAGTAAAAATGTAAACATCAAGTCTGAAGATGACCTCCTATGCTTAAACATTTAACATTTAACCAGTTCATAAAAAAAAAAAAACAAGTAGCAAATAAAGCCCCTGTTATTTTTTGTCTTTATTGATGTTATTAATCCCATTTTTTTATACATTCACTATCAAACCACACCATAGAGAACACATAAAGATAGCATATCCATGGTATAAAACAATATACAGTATTATGCATTTTCCATGTGAACACATAAAAAAATGCATTGCAACAGCTTACATGACTCTAGTGTGAGTACATCATAAGAAAATTGGGCACGTAAGAAGGAGGAACAAAGTCAGCAGCAACCACATGTCTAAATAACATCAACAATAGTCCTATTGATCCCATTAAACAGGATCCAGTTTCAGTCCGGTGCTTGCTGCGTATGGTAGAGGCAACTGAAATATCCCTCTAAGTCAGCCTAAAAACCCTTTTAGAACAAGTGGTTTTGATTGAAGAATTCATGCTGAGAAGATTTCAACTGGGTTTTATTTACATCATGTACATGCATGCTCCTTCGAGAGGGAATTGCACCAATGATCTACAGACCTCTACTCAATAATGGTCAAATATCATTTAAGGAGGTCATCGTTTAGGGAACTTGCACTTTAGTCATTTCATCAATTCAAATGTGTACAAATCAAATTTCATCTTTAAATCAAGACCGTCCTCTTGTGCTTACTTTGAATCTGAAAAAATAAAACATAGAATAAATATAACTTAATAGCCAGTTTCTACAGTGCTATGGGTAAGTATTCACTCTTCTTTAACCGGGTCATATTATGCCAACTTACAACTTTGAAGGTGTTTGTTTACTCATTTTCTCTAACAAACTTTGAAGGCCTTAACCAAATTATCTGTATGTATCAGATTCTAACAAATTAGGCATAGCTTTTAAAGGCATTTGAGTAGCAATGTTTTTATTTAGAGGGACAGAGTAAAGCAAATGCATATCACCATCACATTTTTTCTAATTATTAGAAAATGTTATAAACACATATAAATTTTGTTCTCTTTTACAGTTACAAACTACTTTGTGTGTTTCTGTCACGTAAGGTAAATACATTGCGGTTTGTGGAGAAACGTGGAGACAATGCAAGGCACTGCATGGGTTAGCATTCAGAGGAATGAAGAGGAGCTGGGATCAGCTAGTCTGCAAGTTCTAGTAAGATATTACACAACAAGTTAAAAAATAGGAAGAAAAGGAGTTAAAGTAATATAAAACAGTGATGCAAACTCCCATATAAACCCTTTTATATCAGACTGTGTAAGCTTAAACCAAACTGCATTGCTTATTTTACTATTTTACCATCTTCTGAAACTATCCTTGTCTGTTGACCACTGTTTATCCTTTAACAATCTTCTTCGTTGTTTATGTGTATTTGCTTCCTAAAGGTTTCTCCTGTAAAATAAAAGAAGGAATAATATTGATTTGATGATAAGTGGATGAACATAAGATCATTTGAGTGGGAGAGCAGATCAGATCTTTCTCTAGAGAAACACATTCTTGTGAACAGTTATGTAAAGACTCTGTGTTTCTACATGAACCTTAGTATTTGACAAACACAAATGATTTAGCCTCATTTGTTCGTTTGGAAGTATTTTGCAGTGTAAAGATGGCATTCTGCTTCAAATGTTGCCTGTGGCGACTGGAGTCATGTTTAGCCAGGTCCTGCTGGTTGTTTTACTGCTCCCAGAGGTAAAAATTTGCTCTTCACATTTCTTACAAGGGCAAATTTCCTAATAGAACGCACCTGCGACCTTATTCTGCCTTTTCATTTTTCCAGCTGCACCCATGAGTCTCAGCCTCAAAGGGCTTCAGCCAGGTGGCGTTCTGTACATTCACTGGCTTCGAGCCGCACCTGTCGGCTGGTTTTTCTAGTCTCCACCCAAGAGTTGTGTATCACAGTTCCACCTGGGGATGGGTCTACCTGCAGCAGAGAGACCACTCGCTTCTTAACTTTGGCACGAAGGGCGCGGCGCAGTTTCTGTCGAGTGAAGGCATAGAGCAAGGGGTGGGAAACAGTTGTGCCATAAGCAAGTGCCAGAAACCAGAGACGTAAGCTAACCAGTACGTCACTGGGGCCGATGCTTAAGATCAAAATGTTGGTGACAGAAAGTGGGGCCCAACAGCCAAGAAAAGTCGTGATGATGATGAGGGACATTTTGAACACCCGCCTCTGGCGTTCACGACGATCTCGATGGCGTCTCACTGCCCTACGCAGAGCTATTATTGCTGAGACGGAGGCCTGGACCCCCATCATGGCTGGCGGGGGAGCAGCAGCACCTGCCTCAGAGGCAATGAGAGGAGCGGCCGAGGACTGGGCGGGAGGAGAGGTAGCTGTAGGGGTTGGAGATGGTGATGGAATGAGTGGGGGATGGCTGAGCTGTTTGGTACCATCAGCAGTGCACTGTTCCCCTCCTGCCTCTTCATCATTCCTTCTAGGTCCTGACTTTGTCTCTTTCTGTCTCTTGTGACGCCCCCTGCTGCGCTGGCTTTTCCTCATGTGCGAGCCGATGCGGATGTTCAGAGCTCTCAGTATTCTGGAGTAAGTGAACAACATGACTGCCACAGTGGTGAAGAAGATAGGTACCTGTAGTATGAGATGGTAATACATGCCCAAACCTGTGTAATAGCCCTGACCACCAACACATAGGAGGGTCATGTTGAACCATGCTGGCACAGCTGTTCCACTTACACGTGAAGTGGTTGCTTGACTTGTTTCCTGTGGTTCTGTTGCACTGGACCACTGGACCTCCAAAAATGGCATGAAAAACACTGCAACTGAGGTGACCCAGACAGCAGTGAGAAGCAGTGCTGCTCTGCGTGTCGTCAACAGTCTGTTGGCTGGTCGCACTGAGATGTCATATCGGTCTAGGCTGATAACCAGGATGTTAATGGCTGTGGCAATGCTGGCAAATGTGATGCAAGCCTCATGGAAGCAGCAAATTAAGGCCAGGTTGGGTCCTGGTGGCAGCAGGACAACCACAAGAGTAAGGGGAACACAGAGTAAGCACACCACAACATCCAGTACATGCAGGTTGACTGTCACCATGTTGCTCACTGAGTCCACCAAATTAGACTGAGAGCAGTAGAGCACCAGCACAGTCATGTTGCTGCTGAACCCAAGCACCAGCTCGAGCATGAGGAAGGCAGTGAGCGATACCTGGAAACCAAGTGAGAAGGGCATGTGCCAGGGCATAGCACTGATAGGTAAGGTATCTCCTTCCTGATCCTGATGGATCTCCATACCCTCCAGGGCTACTGGCATTCCAACCCAATCAGTGGTGGCCGGGCCTGAGGTGTAGCTGCCAGTCTCCATGACAACCCTTCAATTCTCGTATATTGTGCCTGTTCCGCTGAAGATAGGTTCCCATGATGCACCAGCCTGATCCTCCATGATGAGGTGAAGAGAAAAATCGTGCTGACAGTTCTGGGGAGATGAGAACATAACACAGACAGATGAGAAAGGCACTGTATGGTTAGAATCTAAGCCCATTATTTCCAGAGGATCTAAGCATGGCTATGGACTGAAATGTCATAACACAGAAAATATATTCTATGCTTGTTTTTTATAATATGTCTGTCTCATACATATGCACGTACATAAACCCCAGCCTCTGCACAAAACACAGTCTAAATTATGCATCAATCAACATGCTGTCAATCAGTATTACTGATTAGCATTTTTTTCTTAGCCACAGCCTGGAATACTGTATGCATGTAAGCTGCTAGAACCAAAAGGCAGCTACAATAGAAAGCACTGGAGCTCAGAGGGAGTTAACAAATGGATTGAACAAAGTAACTATCGAAACAACGATAGGAACACGAGTTGCAAAATTAGAAACAATTTAAGCTTTAGTCTTCTTTGCAGTATCTTAGCTGTCCGTAGAACTGAGCACATCTGGACTGAGTTGTCTGATGTTTCTCCAGGTATCTGTTAGAGCTACTTCTTCAGTGCATTATACATATAATTATATGGGGTACATATCACATAAGAAAAACATTAGAACAGATGGACTTCTTTTTAGTTTTGATACAGCACTCTCTAATACTATTGGTGCAATGGACTTGACATGAAGGCCATGAAAGGGATGTTGTTCATATTTTAGCTAAGAGTGGGTTATGGTTAGGCCTGTCAAATACATTTTTTATGTGCTTTAAATTCTGGAGTACATCGTGCTTAAAACGATCCTTGCATCTTCCGCAGCAACACTGAGGCAAGTCGCCTGGCTCAGTTCATGACTCCAGAACCTGTCCCTGCCTGGACTCCTTCTAAAACAGGCCTTCCTTTGCTTAAATTAGGGGGGTAACTTTTTAATATCATTAAAAAGATGTTAAGTGTTTCTCGGCTTCAGCTTGCATCAGCAGCTGTTAGCAGAATCCCTCCATCATCTGGAGAATAAACCAGATTCCCAGCTCATTGCATTGCCCCTGCTGCTTAGTCTAACTGCTTGGTGTTTAGTTAAACACATAACTAAGCAAGATAGTTGAAAAAAATGAAGGGCAGATCCTATTTTCATTTATCACCTTCTTACTAAAGTAAAAATCAAGGAAACCGATGAAATAACAAGGCTATGATTTTATTTTGAAACTTCTTTTGGGGGCTCTTCTGGTTATTTTTTTCAGAGCCTGCGCGAACTTCTATTACTGATATAAAAAAAAAACAACGATATTATCACTTTAGAACATCCAAAAAGTTTTTTTTGGGGTCAAGGAAAGCATGTTATTTTAATTTTTTTTAATACAATTTATGCCACCATCTGCCTGAGCTAGACCAATCCACCATGCCTGAAATATATAGTAAGAGAAATTATGGGTCACAGACTACAAAAGACTGCTGCCATAATCAGATTTACTGGAAGAAACAAAAATTACACTGTGAATGCCATTATTGATTAATCCTCACCCAAGCTATATTAAAACAGATATTGGAACACAATTTTGCAATGTTGATAACTTCACACCGTCAATTCATTTTAAATTCATTTTTGTTAAAACAGAACAAAACAGTTATATGCATCCAATTCCCAGAACATACCTCATGGTTTTAAATGATCCGTGATGCTAACTGCATTATCAGCAACATTATGGTTAAGCTCTTCTGAAGCCCTTCTCATAAGCCTCCATCAAAATATGCTGCTAGCTCTATTGGTGTGAAGTGCAGTACACTCATTCACTGTCAAATCAGTGAATCTGTCAACGACTTTATGGTCTCTTGAAGACAGATGGGGACGTGCAGTTACCTGGATTATTTACGCCTGTCTTGACATAGTCAAGCCTATGGAGACTGTTTTGAACAAATCCCTGTGTCATAGGTGTGTTCTTCTGATTTTGTTTCTTCTCATTGTGAATCTCTCAATGCCCATGTTCTGCATTCCAAGCAGCTCAGAGAATTTTTACTCAATCGTTGAGTTGTGTTAAGATGCAGTCAGCCCATTGCATCTACATGTTACTCTTGAATGTCAAGGCAGCCCATTTACACCGTGACTTTTACAATCATTTTGTAGAACACACTATTTCTAATAAGGATTTTCTTATCTATTTATTTAAAAGTGATTCCAAATAGGACCTGTAAATATCCACTTTAGGCTGTGATGATGATGTTCTGTGGCTAATGTTTTTGTTCTTTAAATATCTTGGCTATTCATATTTAGAAGTTACCCACATATAGTTTTCACTGATTACTTAATAAGGATTTGAAACCAGTAGTGAGATCAGCACAATGCTGGACTGGTTAACCTAAAAGCCCAATTGCGTGAATTGACCATTAACAGATTAAATGTTGCACTTAAAAGTGCAAGACTACACATACTGATATCTAAATGGGCTTGTATTTTAACATTTTTAGCTGTACTTGAATATATAATTTCACCACACTCAATATTTTATATTCAGGAATTGTTGCATAAAAATATAAATGCTTATCCACTTATCACCGGGAGGCATTAAACTGCTCTTGCCCTGGTGTAAAAGTTAACTTATGTAAGATAAAGAGCTACTACATGACTGTAAATTGAGTTGAGAGGTCAATGAGGCTGCAAAGGCCTCAAAAAGGCAGGTGATTCCTAAGCTTCTTAACATTTTCATGTCAATTCAGAAATTGTTGTGAAAGGTTTCATATGATTCCACAATAAACTACAAAAGATATATTTTAACTCTAGGATTATAAGACAGGATGTGCCTCAAATTCTTATAAAAATTAGTTTGCATCAACACCAATCTAGTAAAACACTGTGACCTTACAGTATACGTTGATCATTGTTTTTCCAACACACCAATCGTGACCCACTTAGACATAGATTCCATTAGTCTCCTAAAGGCATACTTTCGTATCTGATAAGAAAATGTCACCACTAGATGTTTTAGGTCCTCAAGATTTCAGGGTTTAATATAAATCTTTGCGGCATGTTTGTCTAGCACATTCTACAGACACTGCATTGGACTTAGGTCTGGTAAATTAAAAGGTAAAACAACATCTTAAAGATGTTATCAACCATGTTCTTATTAAACCAAATGTGAACTTTTTTTGCTTTGTTGCATATTGTATTATCCTGCGGCCATCTGAAATACAATTTCTATGAAAGGTATACATGACATATAAAACTGCTAAGATAATACTAAGATACAGTAAGTGTTGCTCTTAAAGGCAACACCAAATATTTATCCACCCGGATTGTTGGTCAAAGCATTTCACTGCTGAGATGCTACTAGTAATATTTCAGGTCTCCTTCCTGAAATATTACTTAGTACCACAGTTTCTCAAGGTAAATGATGCACACACACCGATGCATCATTTATGCTAGCCCTCTTAAACCGATCCGTGCCGAGTTCAGACCAGCCTTGGATCAGTTAATCGTGCTGAGCTTGGTTCCTTATGACCATTTACACATCGAACTAGCACAGTCCCTTACTACCTTTCCGCGGTCCACGATACTACAGCTCTCAAGGCAGGAATTACACAAACAAAAATGGTTGTGGCCATAACATTCAGGAATTTTTGTGCTTGATAGCGTCCCTAATTTTCATTGAGAGCCTCGGTCTTGGCATCGTCCAAGGTCGCGCCACGTTATTTTGATGCCGTTCTTGTTAATAAGCTGAGACAAAGTTGCTGTTGTGAACAGGTGAAGAGATCTGTCAATTGCAAAGCCGGACACGCCGGAAAACCTGTGAAATTAGTCAGCTGACTGTAAGTAGGAGATGACTCTGTCTGCTCATGTACTCTTTGTTATCAGAGAGCCGAGCTACAACTGAACCATGCCAAGCCCTACTGTTGAAATAGTTCTAGATTTATCGCGGTAAGGTTATATCTGTCGCAGTCCAGTTCAGTTGAGTTCCATTTACACTCCACAGCTCTCTTGGTTACTGTGCTCAGACTGTTCTCAGCATGGTTTCAGATGGGTAGTGTAAATAGGCCTATAGTCAGATGATGTAAAAGGATACAAGAATGATCACACCAGCTCACCTTCTTTCATTGCTTAGTGTTCCATTTCTGATTCTCATTATTTTTTTTTCAGACTCCTGACAGATGAGAGCATAAGCATCATCCTTGTTTTTTTTAAATGAACCAAAGAGGCCAGTCTTCACTCTTTTGATCCATCAATGACCTTTGTCTGCCAAAGACCCAATCACCAGGTTGGCTCTCTTCCTTCCTAAACCCCTTTTGATTGTCAGCAGTAGGGCTTCAACTAATGATGATTTCGCAAATGGATAAATCTGTTGTTGTAGTGTTAGCCTAGTGGTTAGCGCAGTGCGTCTGAGAAGGTTGCAAGTACCCGTTCGATCCACACAGCCTTCACTCTGGGTTCCTGAGCAACACATTTAACCCAGGGATTAGCAACCCAAACTGCTCAAAGATCCATATTGGACCGAAAAAACCCTCAAAACAAATCTGTCTGGAGCCGCAAAAATATAAAACTATGTTAACATGTGTATTAGAGCACTATAAAAACAGGACTATGTGGGCCTAAATATATAATAAGCATTAATGATTAAATGTTAATCCTGGAGCAAATGTCACATAGTAGCATGAGGTGACGGACGAGCAGTGGACACTCTCCCCGCGTGCCCTTTCACCGCGCGGTTTAAGTTTTGGTGCATTGATGAAATTATAGAAACACGACAAAGGAATCTTTCTATGGTGGACGTGTTTCTGTTGGGATGAGTTGATTGAGTCATGAGGAACCAAGCAGGAACTGACATCCATCAGAGTAGTGCTCTCTAACCCCGAAGTCCCACATCCTCCGTCACCAGCGTTCCTTGGTGTTATTTTTATTTGAGGATTTGGAGGTAAAAATGGAGAAAAAAAATTCCCATACCTGCATCAGAGCGCTACCTGTTTGATCTGTGGACGTTTTTTTTCATGCTTGAAACAAAACTAGCAGCAGTAGTGGAGTTTGGACATGCAATCCATTTCTTAAATCTATCTTTGCG